AGGCTCCTGACTTTTCCTTTCACCTCAGAGACATTTTCTTGTTCTGTTGCCCCAAAATTAGGTAGGCAAGGCTCTTATTGGTGGGTTCTTATATGTGCTCTTTGGTGTACCTATGAAACCATGGCCATCAATATGAGCATTATAAGATATTTATTTAGTAGGCTAGGGTGCAACTGAGGTTTTCAGAAGTCTTTGCCTTCTTTTAAGCAACATTGCCTCTATGTGATAAGCAAATGCTGAGCCTTCGTTGCACATTTTAAAAACCTCATCTCTGCAGTGACCTAAGATGTCACCAAGAAACAGTCTGTAAAACCTGTTATCCAGCCCTGATTTTGTTCAGCTTCTTTGCCCAGAACTCCAAAACCTAACAGAATAGTCATTGCACATAAGTGATGAGAAGGAAATAGTCTATTTACTTAAAAGCTCTGGAAAGAAGAAAAGTCTCTCTCCCCTACAGAGTCTAGAAATCTGGATTAAAGAACATAAGGGACATGAATAGGGAAAATGCAAACTAGTACATCTGGGAAATAAAGGAAACGATCAGAAACCTAGATATTTAGTGAGAAGGAGAAACCAGGACAACAGCCAAACAGATCTAGAGGGAGAAATGGAAGCTGGCTGATATCAAGAGCAGCAAACGGGGAAGAAAGCAAAAATAGAGTTTTAAGGGCTCTGTTTTTTTATATCTAGAAGTAGAGAGCATCATCTCTCAGGCTATTAAGCTGTAAGCCTTTCAGCCCTGGGTCAAAAAGAGAACATTTCTGAGTGCACAGAAGTAACTCAGGCGTGATGTGACAGAGAACTGGAGAAGGAGGCAGCAAGTCTGATTTTCAATCCATCTTGTACTTTGAAGCTATGTGACCTTGGGCAAGTTCCTTCTTCTCCCAGGGCTTTAGCTTTTGGGCTGTGATTAATATTGCTCATCAATAATATTTGTGGAGCATTTACTATTTGTCAGGTACTATGCTCGGCTCTTTATGTATTTCCTCTTGTTTATTCCTCCCAACTACTCTATTATTACCTCCATTTTTAAACACATTTTTATTGTAGTAAAATATACATAACAAAATTTACCACTTTAACTATTTTCAGTGTAAAATTCAGTGGCCTTAAGAATATTCACAATGTTGTACAACAATCACCACTATCCATCTCCAGAACTCTTTCATCTTGTAAAACAGAAACTCTATACCCATTAAACAATAACTCCCGCTTTCCTTCCCCCCACGGTCCCTGACAACCACCATTCTACTTTCAGTCTCTATGAATTTACCAATTCTAGGTAACTCATATAATGGAAGCATTTAATATTTGTCCTTTTTTGTCGGGCCTCTTTCATTTAACATGTGTTCAAGGCTCACCCATGTGTCAGAATTTCACTTTCTTATGGCTATACCTCTCAAGATGAGAAATCCAAGCCCGAAATAGATAAGAAATTTTCACAACAACTCGAAAGTGCTAAAACTGCGACTTTAACTCAGGTCTGTTTGATTCTGAGCTGGTGCTCTCAATGACTGAGCTCAATGAATGGGTAAGATCTCTAAGTCCCTTTCAAAGCTCCAAAATGGTATGAATTCTGTGGTAAGTTCTGAGTCTTTTGATGTCAGAAAAATATCCATTTAAAAAGCTTTATGTTTGATCTAAGATACTCCTATTCTGGAAACAAATGTATTTTTCTCAGCACCAGATGTACAAATCATTGTGCCTGTTTATCCTGTGTTGCACAGGCCATGGGTGCAAAGGAGTATCTGTGTGTATTTGGGAAAGGGAATTGAGGAGGAGAAGATGGGACATTATCCCTTAGAAATAGTCTATAGCAGCAGTTACAGAATCAATTCATAATCATGGACACTACCAATTAGTGTTGGTCTAATGTAAACAGGAAGTTTAAGCAGATGCTTATGTAGTATGTTTTGTTTATTTAATGGCTGGAAAATTATCAAATTCTTTGCAGGACAAAGCCTTTTTCATCTTAAAGTTAGAAACATGGTTCAGGATGCACATTTTGAAAGGCAACACAGTCGCTGAATTCAGTGAGGTTTAAATCATCAAATTTTGTTCATGGAAGCAGGATATAAGAGATCTAAAGTGTGGCTGCGGGCAGAGTAGAGAGGGTGCCTGCCAGGAAGATTTAGCAGTAAGCAGTCCATTGTGCCAATGTCCTCATTTTGGCCAGGTTGAGCACAGATAAGGGTAGAAGGTTTGATGGGAAGGGCAGTACTCTGCGGTGTGGTTCTCATCGTTGTCTGGACAGTGGAATCACCTGAGGAGCTTTACAAACATACCGATGCCTCGGTCCCACCCTCAGGGATTCTGAATTGGTCTAGGTGTGTCCTGGCTATAGATATTTTTAAAACCTCTCCCAGTAATTATACTGGGCAGCAAAGTTTGAGAACCATTGTACAACTAGACCACTCTGCTGAGTACTTACCCACCTGTTTTTCTCTTTTTTTTCTCACCAGCCATTCTCTCCCTAGCCTAAAACGGCAGTTTGATGGGCCACCAGGTTTAGAGAGCCACCTGGTTTTCCTTTTCCTTATCATTTCATCTCTTTATAAATTTAAACAATCATGTCCAGGTCTTAGGCCTTTATCCATCCCAGATTTTACATGTGACCCAGGATAGCTTACTTTACCTTATCTGCTATCTAGACACCATTACCAGCTTGGTTTATTCCAGTGTTTATGACTTCATTCGTGTCTGCCTAAGAACCCTGCCCCCCTTTTGAAGATAGGCGGTGAGTGCAAAGTGCTGAGAAATAGAGGATTCCTCTTACAGGTGGCTGTTGATCCGTCACCTTTCACCAGGGACTAAATTTACCTTAAAGAAGAGTGCAGATCAAATTACGCATCAGAAAGCAAGTTTCATTAAAGAGCAAGAAAGGGGACAGTGTTTCCCAGGAGAAGATGAAAAGAAAAGGATTTCTTTTCTTGTCAGAAGAGCTGACAAAACAGCAACTCGATATCAAATGTTCAATGCTAATTAACAAATGCTCAGTAGAAAGCTTCCATCTGACTCCCTCGCCCTTACTGAGGCCAGAGAGCAAATGGCAGGTAAGAGCCACACAGGGCCCTTTCTCCAGCATTAGGGAAGCCACACAATGTTGCTGTGCATCAGAAAGTGCAGGACAGGAGTCAAAATTCTAAATGCTTCCTTCACTGAATTATTGTGTGGGCTTGGAAAAGTCACTTAATCTCTCCAAGCTTCAATTTCCTTATGTGTAAAAATAAACAACATTGTACTAACCTGTGACTTGCCTTAATTGCAATAGACCCTCCCATTCCCTCATGTTAAAGGCCTGGAAGCACTTAGCTCATCTGTTTCAGTGCTATCATTTCTAACGTTACAATCCTTATGATTATCTGATGTTTCAAAACATAATTCAGTGAGGTGTTTTCAATTAAAAAAGATAGCAGAATTTCCGTTTAAAAGTGGATATTACTACTATTAGATTGTTTCAGCTCCTTCCAAAAGACTCCCTACCCTTGACATATGCCAATGATATTAGCCAACATCTTACCTCAGAAATTAATAAGATTAATAAGCAACATGACAAACAGATCTAACTTTAGCATATGTGTATTTCAGTTTGACTGCTTTGCCACTGACAATGTAACTTCTCTAATCCATGATATTTGGGACTCCCCCTGACAATTTAAAGTCCCATATGTAAATACTAAGAGTTACTCAAGTTTTTGTCCCCAAAATACTTTCCTGAGGATGATAGCACAGCTACAATATTACCACTTTACAAAGAGGTAAATGGTGGTATAGTGTGATGTGACTGACCACCGTGCCTCTCAATTTACCAGGCAGGCGAGAATAGAACTGGAATTAGAACAACATGAGTTTACTGGTGCCCAGGCAAACCACAAAATCCAGAACTTGTGGTCACCTCTTGTAAGTGCAACAAATCCTTTTAGAAAGTGGGAAATCCATTAAGATTCAAGGTAGAAAGAGAATGCAGAGTACCTGATCAAGAAGGCAACTTGTCCCTATTTATGTCTCTCTTAAGTAGGAGACCAGGAGGCTGCCCCTGAGGCAGGGAACAGGTGTTGTCATTTCCAGGCATTCAAACCAGGTCGGAGCTGAAAGGGGCTTTAAAAACTGAGAGGCTGCCTGGTAGCCCCTGCTGCATTTTTCTCATTGTTGCAGGAGGAGCTCCCCGCCTCCCCCCCTCCGAGATTAGAGCTAGTTGGGCCTCTGTAGGCCAGCATCTCCCCAACACCAACTGTCCTTAGCGGTGACAGTGTGGTTGCAAGAGAAGGACGATGAAGGAAGGGTAGAGAAGATGGCTCATCTAAGAGATGGCTCCTTCAACAAGCATGAACTTTGTAAGTCATGTGTAAGGCGGGTGATCTGTGGAGTAACTTGCATTTAGCTATTACTCTGGAGGAGGAGGGGCAGGGTGTAAAGGGGCTTAGTGTTGGAAGAGAGGAGTCCCGGAATGACTTCCTTGAAAATTCTACCTTGCAGCCTCCCACCCTGAGAAATTTCTTTTGTGGAGGGAGGTGAGGGTAGCGTAGCAACGGGGATGAGGAGGGCAGGACAAAACTTGGGGTGTTTTGGGGTGGGTGTGTTGATAATGGGGAGATGTTCTAGGTTCCCCCTGCGCTCCAGCCTCGGAGCCTCGGAGGAGCTCAGACCACACTCTCTGGAGTCCACATTTTCCAGGCTCAGCGGATCCTTTATGCAAAGAAAAAAAAGGAGAAGCCTATCGCTTTGCTCTATTGAACAGGGTTGTGTTTCCCACTGTGCCCCCTTGAGCTTGCTAGGGGGAGGGGGCGAGACTGGGCAAAGACATCTGGAGATGGGGGGAGCTGGCAGAGGGCAAGGAAAGGTGGACCCCCACCACGATCCACAGCACCTGTCACTGGGCCTCCGGAAACCCTCCTGGGCCCCGGGTTCCCGCCCCCACACACCCACCTCCGCTCCGGCAGCTCCTCTCCCAGCTCCCGCCTCCCGCTCCAGCAGTCCCTCCCCACAAACTCTCCTCCCTGGCAGCTCCACCCCATCTCCCCTCTCTCAGCTCTCTCGCGCTCCTGCTCCTCCCACCTCTGCGCTGCCCCGCTCCCCTCCCCCTCCTCCCCAGCTCCCTGCCCCCGCTGCCTTCGCCGATCTCCATCTCTGCAGTCTGGGCCGCTGGGTGCAGTGCCTGCCGCAGCCCCAGCGGCCACCGCCACCGCCACCTCCCCCAACCCCCATCCCCATTGTCTCCCACTCCACCCGGCCCACTACCTCCCCCAACACCATGGCGCAGGAAGCCGGGAGAAGCTCTCTTCTCAGGGGGCCCTGCGGGGAGCCAGCGGAGCTTGGAGGTGCGGTAGGGCCCGGCCTGGGCAGGGGCCTGGGCAGGGGTGGGGTGGAAGGGACACGCTGGGGGAGGGGAGACTTTCGGTGGACGGGATCAAATGCACGTTTCTCTGCACAGACCCTCAGAGCCCTTTCCTTGCGCTCGCAGGTGGCCCGCGCTGGGCTAGTCAAGTGGGGTAAGGGGGGGGGGGGCGGAAACGAGAGAGGAGGGCAGAAGCTTGCACGTGCCCCCCACACCCCCATGCTGGGGTTCTCGGAGGTCCAGGAGGGTCAGGACTGACGTCTAGCCTTTTGCATGGCCTGATGATGAGCTCATCTCCCCACCTCCAACTCGCAGTTACTGGGCTTGTAGTTAATTAGAGCCCCCATACCCACTCCAACCGCACCACCCACGCTTTCTCCTCTTCTTGTCCTCAGGTGATGCTAGCGAGGAGGACCACCCCCAAGTCTGTGCCAAGTGCTGTGCACAATTCACTGACCCAGCTGAATTCCTCGCTCACCAGAACGCATGTTCTACTGAACCCCCTGTAATGGTGATAATTGGGGGCCAGGAGAATCCCAGCAACTCTTCGACCTCTTCTGATCCCAGGCCTGAGGGCCACAACAGTCCCCAGGTCATGGAGACAGAGCACAGCAATCCTCCGGATTCTGGGTCCTCGGTGCCCACAGATCCCACCTGGGGTGGAGAGCGGAGAGGAGAGGAGCCTGCAGGGCATTTCCTGGTCGCTGCCACAGGTACAGCAGCTGGGGGAGGTGGGGGCCTGATCTTGGCCAGTCCCAAGCTGGGAGCAACTCCATTACCTCCAGAATCCACCCCTGCACCGCCCCCTCCTCCTCCTCCACCTCCGCCCCCAGGTGTAGGCAGCGGCCATTTGAACATCCCTCTGATCTTGGAAGAGCTCCGGGTGCTGCAGCAGCGCCAGATCCATCAGATGCAGATGACTGAGCAAATCTGCAGGCAGGTACTACTGCTTGGCTCCTTAGGCCAAACGGTGGGTGCCCCTGCCAGTCCCTCAGAGTTACCTGGGACAGGGACTGCCTCCTCCACCAAGCCCCTGCTTCCCCTCTTCAGCCCCATCAAGCCTGTCCAAACTGGGAAGACCCTGGCACCTTCTTCCTCCTCCACCTCATCCTCCACAGGCGCAGAAACACCCAAGCAGGCTTTCTTTCACCTTTACCATCCACTAGGGTCACAGCACCCTTTTTCTGCTGGAGGGGTTGGGCGGAGCCACAAACCAACACCTGCCCCTTCCCCAGCTCTGCCAGGCAACACAGATCAACTGATTTCCTCACCTCACCTGGCATTCCCCGGCACCACCGGACTGCTGGCAGCACAGTGTCTTGGGGCAGCCCGAGGCCTCGAGGCCACTGCCTCCCCAGGGCTCTTGAAGCCAAAGAACGGAAGTGGTGAGCTGGGCTATGGGGAAGTGATGGGTCCCTTGGAGAAACCTGGTGGACGGCACAAATGCCGCTTTTGTGCCAAAGTATTTGGCAGTGACAGTGCCCTGCAGATCCACCTGCGTTCACACACAGGTGAGAGGCCCTATAAGTGTAATGTCTGTGGCAACCGCTTCACCACCCGTGGCAACCTCAAAGTGCATTTTCACCGGCATCGTGAGAAGTACCCGCATGTGCAGATGAACCCTCACCCAGTGCCAGAGCACCTAGACTATGTCATCACCAGCAGCGGCCTGCCCTATGGTATGTCTGTGCCACCAGAGAAGGCTGAGGAGGAGGCGGCCATGCCAGGTGGGGGTGTGGAACGTAAGCCTCTGGTGGCCTCCACCACAGCACTCAGTGCCACAGAGAGCCTGACGCTGCTCTCCACTGGTGCGGGCACAGCTGCGGCTCCTGCCCTCCCTGCTTTCAATAAGTTTGTGCTCATGAAAGCAGTAGAGCCAAAGAGTAAAGCTGATGAAAATACTCCTCCAGGAACTGAGGCCTCTGCTATCTCAGGGGTGACAGAAAGTGGCACAGCAACTCGCATGCAGCTAAGTAAGTTGGTGACTTCACTTCCCAGCTGGGCACTGCTTACCAACCACTTTAAGTCCACGGGGAGCTTCCCCTTCCCCTATGTGCTAGAGCCCTTGGGGGCCTCACCCTCTGAGACTTCAAAGCTGCAGCAACTGGTAGAAAAGATTGACCGACAGGGAACCGTAGCAGTGGCCTCTACTTCCTCAGGAGTTGCCACCACCTCTGCCCCAGCAGCTTCATCCTCAGCCTCATCTGGACCTAACCAGTGTGTCATCTGCCTCCGGGTGCTGAGCTGTCCTCGAGCACTGCGCCTGCATTATGGTCAACATGGAGGGGAGCGGCCCTTCAAATGCAAAGTGTGTGGCCGAGCTTTTTCTACCCGGGGCAATCTGCGTGCACATTTCGTGGGCCACAAGTCCAGTCCAGCTGCTCGGGCCCAGAACTCATGTCCCATCTGCCAGAAGAAGTTCACCAATGCAGTTTCTCTGCAGCAGCATGTTCGGATGCACCTGGGGGGCCAAATCCCCAATGGCAGTACCACCCTCCCTGAAGGTGGGGGAGCTGCCCAGGAGAATGGCTCTGAGCAATCTACAGTCTCTGGGGCAGGGAGCTTCCCCCAGCAGCCATCCCAGCAGCCATCCCCAGAAGAGGAGTTGTCTGAAGAGGATGAGGAGGATGAGGAAGAAGAGGAAGATGTAACTGATGAAGATTCTTTGGCAGGAAGAGGCTCAGAGAGTGGAGGTGAGAAAGCGATATCAGTGCGAGGCGATTCCGAAGAGGCATCTGGGGCAGAAGAGGAAGTGGGGGTGGTAGTGACAGCAGCCACAGCTGGGAAGGAGATGGACAGCAATGAGAAAGTGATTCAGCCTCCTTCTCTGCCGCCGCCACCGCCACCACCACCACTGCCACCACCATCAGGCGGCCAGGATCAAACACAGCCAATGGAGCAGGGAGGCAGTGATGTTGCAGGAGGCACGGGAGAGGAGGGCAAACCAGAGAGGAGCTCAAGCCCAACATCAGCACTCACTCTCGAAGGAGAAGGCAGCAGCACCACCTTAGTGGAGGAATTGAGCGTGCAGGAAGTGATGAGAAAGGAGCCAGGAGAGGGCGGCAGCAGAAAGGCCTGTGAGGTGTGTGGCCAGACCTTCCTCACCCAGGCAGCTCTGGAGGAGCATCAGAAGACCCACCCCAAGGAGGGGCCACTCCTCACTTGTGTTTTTTGTAGGCAGGGCTTTCTGGAGAGGGCTACCCTCAAGAAGCATATGCTGCTGGCTCACCACCAGGTACAGCCCTTTGCCCCTCACGGCCCTCAGAATATTGCTGCTCTTTCCTTGGTTCCAGGCTGTTCACCCTCTATCACTTCCCCAGGGCTCTCCCCCTTTCCTCGAAAAGATGACCCTACGATCCCATAAGCCTGTTTGGTTTTTTTTTTTTTTTTTTTTTTTTGTACCTGCTGCCCTTTGACCTAGGTTGCTGAAACAAAGAGCTTTGTAGAAAGACCTCGAAGATTTATGAGCCCTTATTTGTCTTTTTGTTTGAGTTCTTATATGACATGTCCCAAGTGGTTTTTCTCTAGTCCCTGAGCTTAGAAATTGTTATGCTCAAGGGGGGATGGCCCCCTGAGGAATTTTTCTTCTCCTTTCATTGTTCCTGAGGAAAATAAATTCTCTACAGCTTTCACGTTCCCAAGGGAAACCCTCTCCAGCTCCCCTGGGGTGACTTCTCCCCTTTCTTCCCTTCCTCTTCCTTTCCCTTTGGCAAGTGCATCTGAACACACACATTTGGAATTGCAGCCCAGCCCAAAGGGGCTGGCTGCCGTCCCTGGAGGGCCCAGAGCCACTACTCTCTGGTGAGTTTTTGTCCCAAGACATTCCTGCTCAGCTGGTTAGTGTGGGTCCCTTGCCTTTCTGAAACTAGTACACGGCTCTCCGGTCAAGTGATCTACCCACCAAGCCTGGGAGTTCCAGTTCCACCTCCACTGCCACTTCAGACCTGGCACCACCAGGGCTGTTTAGCCCAAGAACTGGCTGGGAAGGTGCCTCCAGCAATGGGATCCAGAGAGGCCGAGGAAAAAAGAGCCCTCCTCTTATTTCAGCCTCCTGCATCCAAGGCAGTGCCTGAGCAGCTTATAGAAGTAGCAAACTGTATGTTCCTTCTCCTTCCCTCTTCTCCAGAAGGTGCTAGCAATGATGCTGCAGCAATATCTGTATCTGTAACTCAGTCCTAGGGGCTGAGAAGTGAAGGGCAGACTCTTGCCAGTAAGTTCCTTGATAATTACATTAAGGTGAAGGTGGATATGCCAAGACATCTCCACCTTCTGTTATTCTTTCATCATTGCCTCTCAAAGTTAGAAAACAAGCGGATGTCTTGCCAAGAGGTCTCCTATGGAATGTTTTGGGAAATGTGAAGCTAGTACATAACTTTAAGAAGCACTGTTAGTAAGGGTAGTTGAAGAAGTAATGATGGAGAATTGAGTGTTACTAAAGTATAGGGCTTTATACTGGGAACCTACGTGATTAAGGGACATGATGTAAGGGAGTGGACCTTGAATTCTTGATTGGGTGGATCTCATGAATGTTTCTCTGGATTAATAGTGACTTAGTGTGCAGCAGTGCACCACAGATCATGGGAGATTTCCTAGCACTAGTGTGCTTCTAGTTTTAGATAACTCCCTCCTTTATTCCCTGGCCCCTTGTATTTTTCTCACCTTTCCCTCTCAAGGCCCATTTCCTGCCCATTTTGCTTGTCCATGGACTGGGGCTTCTGTCTTTGCTACTGTCTGGTTCTTACAGTCCCAGACTTTGGGAGATGAGCTCCAGGTGGTGTCCTCCCTGCCTCTTCATCTTATAATGAGATGTAGTATTTACTCTTAACATAGGATTGTTTGGAACAGTTCTGAGGAGGAGAAAGTGTTGGTTCTGTTAGTGACTGACTCGAATGATGGCTTCTCCGAAGGTGTAGGCTCCAGAGCTTCCTAACATAGTGAAATGTGAAGAGCAGACAAGGGAGATGTTAGTGTCTTTCCCTTTTCATTAAAGGTGTTTTAACCAAATATTTGTGTGTTTCTCCTTATTTTATGACTAAATAGCCAGCTGGGGTGCGATATGGCACTCCCAACCGTTGAAATTCCCTTCCCACCTACATGTCCTGCCAAAAGCTGAACATATGGTGTTAAAATGTCTAATTTAGTCAGCGTTGTTTTAAAACAACCTCCAGTGAATGTAATTTCCCTGTGGAAATGGACGTTGTATTCTCACAATGTAGGGAATTTGTCCACTATGTACAGTTATTGCCTGGGTTTTCTCTTTGCCTAGAATCTTCTACCACCAGGCTTTTACATTTTATTTTGTTGGGTTTTTTGTTTTGTTTTGTTTAAAGGTTGGAAGCTCTTTATCAATCTTTACTGAACTCCAGGCCAGCCTGGCTGACATCAGCTAATCTGCAGAACCAAGATGAATTAATCTGTATGATCCTTGAGATCCTTGAGATAAAGATAAACATAAAAGTAATTCAACCCTAATAATTTTTACAAACAAGATAAAGGAAGATTTTTAGTAGAGGAAGTACATTGGGGGTGGAAGCAGGAAATGGTAAGGTTCAGATTTGACTCTAAGACCTTAGTTTCATAAAGAGAAGCTGCTCTGGTGTGTGGCTCAGTGGATTGAGTGTTGGCCTACAAACCAAAGGGTCACTGGTTTGATTCCCAGTGCAGGGCACGTGCCCACGTTGTGGGCCAGGTCCCTGGTCCGGGGCGTGTGAGATGAAACCACACATTGCTGTTTCTCTCCCTCTCTTCCCCTCTCTAAAAATAAATAAATGAAATCTTAAAAAATAAATAAGATGCTCCAGATTTTTTTTTTTTTTAAGACTACAATATCACTGCATTTAGTGCTAAAGAGATGGAACTGGTAAAATAATTTGCTCAAAGTCAATCAATTAGTGGCAGAGTTGGATTAAGAACTCAAGTTGACAGAATCACAGTCTTAGTGCTACCAACAGTGATCAGCAATGGTGCTGGCTTCCTGCTACATCATTAAGGACTCCTTATATAAGGCTGGCTAGAAGACAGAAGGGAGAAGGTAAGTGAACCTATTCTTGGCTTGATTCAAGGTAAAGAATGATTTTTTATTCTACTTGCCCCCACCAGAACAGTACAGGTCCCTTTAAAAAGTACTGATGAGCCTTGGCTGGTGTGTCTTAGTTGGCTGGAGCTTCATTCTATAACAAAGGTTGCAGGATTGATACTCCCATCAGTGAGCTGTGTAAATGCGGGTTCAATTCCCAGTCTGGGTGCGTACAACCCCAGTTTGGGAAGCAGCCAATCAATGTTTCTCCTTTTTGTCTCCCTCTAGCTCTACAAAACAATGACAAAATGTCCTCAGGTGAGCATTTAAAAAAAAACAACCACTACTGAAGAATAGGAACACATGGGAATCTTGTGAACTTGATTTGGTGGAGAAATAGCTCCTGTCTCTTTCATTCCTGGCAAAGCCTTATAAATCTGTTTTTCCTGTCAGCCTGTGGAAGGAGATGGGTCACCAATCCTTCTAATTTTCTTTACCTTCCCTATTCCTATTGGATGTAGATAGTGCCATTTAACTAATTAAACTGGACTTGTCCTCTCTTTAGAAGCCAGTTCCCATTATGGTAACAGCTGTTAGTAAAGCTTCAGCTGTTATGTACTTTCTCTGTCAGGTCAGCACTGAGTCTGACTCCCCGCCCCCTCTCTGTCTCCTTTTCATTATTTTTCCTACCTGTCCTGCTTGCTCTTCTTTCATTAACCTCTCTTATCTGATGGTTTTTATTACTTTTTCTTTTCTCTCTTTAAATTTTTTTCTTAGAGCCTTTAGTCTCCCTAATTGCAGCCTCCAAGCCCCACCATTTCTCACTTTTTTTTTTTTAACCTCAGCCAAGGACATTTTTTCATTGTTTTTAGAGAGAAAGAGAAACATCCATTGGTTAACTCTTGTATGTTCCCTGACTGGGGATTGAACCTGCAACCTAGATATGTGTCCCAACCAGGAATCAAACCTGTGACCTTTGGGTCTATGGGACAACACTCCAAACAACTGAGCCACACCAGCCATTTCTCACTCTAAGTCACTTCATTTGGTCATCTTTTTAGAAGGTGAATTAATTATAACCTGCTGGAATAACTGTGTAAATAAATGCAGCTCACAAAATACTAGGTGAAATAAACAGTGGGTAGGTTTCAAACTGGATAGTTTTTATTTTTTTTTAAATCACTATTACAGGTGAGAGATAGCTTCTTTGCTTATTCAGTTATTTCTGAGTATTTTCTTTCAGAGACCAAGTGTTGAGTAGGTACAAAAGTTATAAATAAGACACACCTCTGTCCCTATGGGAGCTTGGTCTAGGAAGAGGAAAAATGTAAACATTTTTACGTGGTGGTAGTAAATACTGTAATAGACACAAACAATGGACTGCAGGTTCCCAGAGGGAAATAATCAACTCAGTGCAAAGGCAGAAAAGGGTAAGGAGGTGTATAACGCTCTTGAATTTAGCTTTCATAATATCCACTTTAAAATACACCAACTCAATCCATACAATAACCTAAGGACCAATGCACTTAAGAACCTCCGCAAGATATGCTGAACTGAGTTTCCTTTGGCAGATGTGGAGATGTGCTGCTTCAGAGATGTCCCTTCAAGAATAAAATGGCTACCTAGCTGCAGAAAGCCTAGTTAGTTGACAGCTTCCAGCTGTCCCACTCCTCACCAGCCCCTGGCCAATGACAGAACAAGGTGGTGAGTGGCACAGGGGCCTAGCCATTCCCATAGAACATGGGACTCTAATGAGCAATTTTTTCCTCAGGAACTCTCTATTGGGCTGGCAGAGACTTTGTCAGGTCTTCATCATAGTCTGACAGCTCTCCCTGCCCAACTTTACTCCTCACCCCCTTTTTACAACTCTTACTCTCCCAAAAAACTTTTGAACTCCTCTGTCTCAGCATCTGCTTCTCAGAGATTACAACTTTTGTCACCTGTGAAAAGGCCTAAATTCTCTGACACATTTTCCTTTTTAAGACTTTATTTGTAGAGAGAGGGGAAGGGAGGTAGAAAGAGAAATATCAATGTGTGGTTGCATCTCACACGCCCCCTGTTGGGGACCTGGCCTGCAACCCAGGCCTGTTCCCTACATTGGGAATCGAACCGGTGACCCTTTGGTTCGCAGGCTGGCACTCAGTCCACTGAGCCACACCAGCTAGGGCTATTTACCTCTTCTTTCTGTGGAGGGGGGAGAGGGAGAGAAATATCAGTGTGTGAGAGACATCAGTTGCCTCTCACAAGGCCCCCAACTGGGGACCTGGCCTGAAACCTAGGCATGTGCCCTGATGGGGAATTGAACCAGCAACCTTTCAGTTACAGGCAGGTACTCAATCTACTGAGTCACACCAGCCAGGGCCTGACACATTTTCACCTGTCACAAACTCCTGCTTTTGGGACTCTGGTTACCATCCCTGGACCAATGAACATCTGTCTCCTGATTACTAAAACAGACTTCACTGGTGCTACTTTCAATTAGACCCAACTTTGACTTCCTTTTACATGTCCTTTCTTGGCTCTTCTAATGTCTAATTCAATAACAGATTGCCTAACTCCAGTGGACATTTTGCTTTTGATCATAAAATAAAAAACTAAGAGCAAAAACTTAGGAAAAATACCCATTTGGCCAAGGAGCCTTTAGTTAGTACTACTGATGTTTCAGTAATTCATTGCTATGTAACAAACAATCCGAAAACTTAGGGTCTTAATAATTACTTATTTGCTGTGATTCCATGGGTCTGAGCAGGCCTCAGCTAAAATGGTTTGTCTAAGTCCCATATGGTGAGGACCTAGCTCACCCAGGCAGCACTTATTGGGCTGGAGGATCCAAGCTGGCCTTACTTCTGGCCCCTCAGCTGAATGGCTGGAATGTTGGCACCTTCATAGATTCATCCTCCAGGATCTCTTTCCCTTCAAGTTCTTTCTGTCTCTTCAGATCTCTCTGTCTCTCTCTCTCTCTTTCCTCCCTCACTCTTTTCAGATGGTTTATCTATCAGGATAACTGGACATCCATGAAGGACCAGGTCTCTGAAAAGACAAAGCAGAAGCTGCAAGGCCTTAAGGCCTAGGCTCTGAAACTCAT